TTTAGGAACCGTTTCAATTCAGCACTGAGAGTCCTGCGAACTGTGTTGTATTCATTGCCTGGAGGGATGCTTCGACCAGTGTCCAGCATTTGGAGAGAACGTGCCGAAATCCAGTGGTTGTGCATTTGGTGAAGTCACATGCTGTGGTACCGAACTTATGCATGGCGTTACGGATGTGAATCCACTGGTTGTCAACGTTCGAGGATGACAGACTGTCTATATCAGCAGCTAACGTGTTTTGGTAGGCGGTAACTACGTTTAGGTTGGTCAGTTTCATCGAATTAAGTCTTCTCGGGTGACGTTGCTGTTTTCCGCCAAAGCGCAGAGAGAATTTCGCTCACACGAGTGCATGATCAGAGCTGTGATATGTGCTCCAGATGGATTTGCAGTCCGGTATGCAATTTCTCCATCGATAGCTGATGGCAAAATTATCTATTTGAGTCCAGAGCTGATCAGACGATGGAGGGCGCCATGGTCGGTGAAAATTTGTGCTCGAATGGAAGAGACCATGTTCAGCGCATACTTGCAGAAGACAGTCGCTGTTGTCACTTCTCCTAACACGGAGACCATGCTGGTCACCAAGTGAGGTTTCGTCAGCATCTAACCTACCTACTTGTGCGTTCAAGTCGCCGGCTAGTATCATGATTTCGGTGTGTCGTCTACTGTGGAGGAGGTTGGTGAGCTGATGGTAGAACTCGTCCTTTTTTGTGTCGGGACTGCAGTCCATCGGCGCATAAGCCACAATGACAAACAGACAGAGCTTTTTTGTCCCATCACGAGATGCCCTTATCGGTCCTTTTAGACGGATGGCGCATGGTCAACTATTGATTAAAATCCAGTGGAGTAAAACTGCTTCTGCACGTGCACTTAGTGCTATCCCCACGCCGACCTGATGAACGGCCTCTGCCATCGGATCTTCGGAGAGGTGGGGGGTGAACGAACTTGCAGAATCCGGGTACGGTGAATCGAGTTGCAGTACGGTGCTCGAATCCTGTAGCCGTGTCTCAGTAAGGCAGCAAACGTCCATGGCAAGCGTTTCCAGTGTGCGAGCGAGTGTTGCTTGAGCCCCAACTTGCATAAGTGTTCGAACGTTGAAGGTCCTTAACTTTATCTGCGCCCGGGGCGCGAGTAACTTTTTCGGAATAACCTGATCGGAAGCTTGTTTCTTTCGCATGGGAACAAGACTATGGTTTCGGCCGTTATATTGAGCAACACACTGTTGGAGACTCGAAATAATAGGCGGTAAACTGAGAATGGGAAAGTTCAATAATTGAGGAAGGGAAAGTGTGATCCGTTGGTGTGATAACATGGAAATCTGTGGAGCCGACCGCCAACACCTTGATCAAAGGGTGCATAGTTAGAGCGAAAAATTCGGAAATGTATAATGTGTTAATAAGTTGTGTGGGCATGTTACTTCCCGGTTGCCCCGGTCGAAGAACGGGGATAACCTCGGGGTCCCCACCCGAAGCCTTTGATTAAAACGCCTGACCTGCAAGACAGCAGGACGGAAGTCAGAGCCCACAATCCATTGGGGGCCGGTGTCCGGTTCGTCGAATCATACGCCCTTCGGACGAGGTCAAACGTCCAAGGTACCCAATACACCTCAATGACCAATCGAG